CCCTTACCCCTACCCCTACCCCTCCAATCAAAAGAGAATTCCCCTACCCCTACCCCTCCAATCAAAAGAGAATTGAGACACCCCTACCCCTACACGTGAACGCGCCAAACGGAGGGGTAGGGGAAAGTGTAGGGGTAAGGGGTAGAATTGGGATTGGGCCTTTGTCCATCACTATCTATTTCTTACCAAGTCCCCACTAAGGATGTCATTATGGTATATCTTACTCTGTTCAAGCTAACTATCATGAAAGTAGTGCCAGCATTAAAGCCTGGCTGGTTAGTTGTGAGACCATTTGACCAAAGTGATTTGTCTCCTCAATTTCATGGTTTAAAGGCAAGGATTTCCTCTGATGACTTTGATTCAGTGAACATTTAGCACCCAGTGTTCCTGGCCCAGGTGGAGAATGAATAGGCTGACTAGGAAGGTAAGTACCCCTCCACAAAGACCTGTGCTGATCACCAACAGCTAACATGTTCAGGGTTCTTTGCAGATAAGTTTCAGGGTACCATCTTCACATTTTAGAACACTTCCTGGTATTTGAGGGGACCAGAGTACATGGTAGCCTCCCTATATTTAATCTATAATGAAAGCTGGACAGAATGCATTTCCTTCACAGGATGTGGGACTCCATCTGGTGAGCATTCAGGGTTAGCTACCTTAGTTCCTCATTAGGTGTGGGTCTGCTTACCCCAAGACAAGGTTCAAGTAATCAAAAGTGGAAAGTTCAGGTGAGTACTCTGTGACCGTGACTGTTTATACTCAACTGGTTGGTTGAAACAAAATCTTGGTCCGGATTTGTACTTTCTGGACCTGAACTTTCCACTTCTGCAAGCAATCTAGGCTTTCCCTCACTATGTCACCCAAGAACCGGGTATGGGCCTTTCTGAAACTGGCTGTATGCTATGGTTGCGTTATTCCCAATATCTCTTTACAAGCATAACTGTAGTTCTAAGACTCTGATTCCTGGGCTTGGATTTCCACCCTGAATGGACAGCCCCTTTAACCCCACCCCCCAGCCCCCCTGAATAGGCAGGCGTGGGTGGGGTCATCACCACATCCCTCTCGTGCGTTTTCCTTTGCCCTGAATAAACATTGAAGTAATTGCTTGCACCATTGTATACTGTCTTGCCTGCTACGAATCCTAATATTTCGTTTATTCCACATCACACATTGTTACATTACTTTGCCTAGAAGCTTATCAGAGAAATGTAAAAAAGCCTTGCCGCACAATAAAGTTGGGCTGAATTTGTATAGCAACACAGTCGCGTGCTTCTCGTTGTCTTGGTTACCGCTGGAGCTCACGCATGAAAAGCCGAGCAGAAGAAGATCGTTTAAAATTTAACTCAAAGTCATACGTCATAATTATTTTTACATTTCCTGTTTTCAAAACAAAAGTCATTCACTATTACTAATTCTACCGGTTACAAGAAGGAGTAAGAAGCAGTAGCTTTTGTGTGGATGCTGAGGGTTCGCTGCTTTTTCACTCGTATCGCTTACGCGCTCACCTGTTGTCGGTGAGTACTGTAGGTACCCATCCGTCTCTGCCCGCCATGGACATCACGAAGGGAAGCCTGGACGATATCTCCCGCCCGGCGTCCAGTGAGCGTCCTCGGCCCGGAAGCCGAGTGTCGTTGCGGGAAGGTGTGCGGGTTAACCAGGACACCCCGTACGGTTTGGCGGTCCTAAGCCCCGACAGCGCTGGGACGGAAACTCCTAATTATGTAATTACGCATACTGTGCCATTGTGTTATTCACCACACTTTGCGCAGTCATATGTGCCATAATCCCACACACCTCTCTTTAGACACACTAATGATAATATTATAGTCATGCTATAGTCTTATGCAGTAGGCTACGTATGCTTTAAACGCTTACTTTGTAGGGCCAAAAGGGGGCACCAGACAATGAGTTCCCGGTTTCCTCTGAAGATCAAGCATGGTTAGATGGCATGGACCTTTTTCATGGAGAAGAAGATGAAGGAAGACAGTTGGATCAATTGGGAAGACATTCTTCAGAGTCAGGTGTGAATTTGGCTTATGCCAAAAAGATTGCACCAATAAATATGAAGAGTAATGTAATAAATGTCATTAAATGTTTGTGGTCTAGCAGAGAAAAGTAATATCTGGTACAAGCAGTGAAGCTAAAATTATTGCTTTGAATTCAGTCAGCATATATGCGATGAGACATCTGTTTTAACGTTCTTCTTTTAACAGAAGGAAAGTCAGGCGACTTTTATACGGAAGAATCTGATGAGGAGAATAAAACTCCAGTCCTTCAGGAAGCCATTAGGAAAATGAAAAAATTGGACAAAATTTTAGCGCAGAAGATCTCCAAAGAAAAAGCTGTGAAAGCGATGGGGAAGGAGCTGCAGGTGAAAATGTGGAAAGAACTTAAGGTGAAAATACAGAGAGTGCTGCCCTGAAATCTGTGTTTTTCCCCCCCCAAAGCTGGTATTTTGTTTTAGTTTTTGATCAGGGGATTTGAATATCCTGCAGGACCTAAGGACAAAACCAGAACGTGCCGATGAGGCTGAAAACACGCGACTTTATTTGGCTCTAGGATCTACTAGCTGTAAGTGTGCGAAATGGCTAAAAACTTACCTCACCCGTGTGCTGATATTTATACAAGCTGTAACGATAGTGCCAGGATTAAATCGCAAATATCTTTGTACATGAATCTTGTGTTCATGCCAAAATTCTTCAGTGCGTGGGACTGTTTGTCATTTAATTAGGTAGTCACTTGTAAAGCAAGACCTTGAAATCTGGTCAAAGATGTGACATTTAATCCCCTTTGAAAAGTGATGACCCCATTGTGATTTGCCAGAGTATGTCCATGTCAGGCGTTGATGATAATTGGGGGCAGTTCAGTGGGTTTTTTTTTTTTTTTTTTTTAAATCATGAACAGAAAAACTCTTTTGAGGGAAAACTGCTGCTACCATCTCAGGTCACAGAGGTGACATCTCTCACTCTTTCTGCTGCTTCTTTTCCATCCACTAGAAGATCACTTACCTCTTTGTTGCATATTTCCATCTATGTCATAATGAATTTAATTTTTAAATATTCCAGCCTATGGCCCTAGTGAGGACGGGGATTTTGTTCCCATATTTGGGACTCAGATTTCACAAGATGGGTATGATGTAGAAGAAAAGAATCTGGATGAAGGTAAGTAGCAGCAGTAAATGTAGTCCCCTGTGCAGTAGGTTGAACTGACCTGGGAAATCCAGGCGCTGAACGAGGTCACACAAAGTGTTTCGGAAAAACCTTCAATGGCTGTATTCATGTGAAAGTACATGTTTTAAGAATGAATCACAAGTAGGAAGAAACTGATAATCCACTGGTGTTCATTTCGTCCCCTGGCCATGTTGGAATTTTTCTATTTACAGCGTTGTAGCAGTATACATTCAACGTCTTTTATTCCTTTCACCTGCTTACATGCAATTCTAAGTTGTTTACAGTAGATGGCAGTATACCATTAGGAAAAAGCAAATGGTTTTCATGCAATAGAAAAGTACATTAAGCCGAGGGCCCTCTTTTGCAAAACCAACTGATATGGCTATAAATCACTAAAATGTTGTTAGATTTTATATAATTCTAAGTGTTCTGTGAGTTAGCAGTTGGTGTAATTGTGTGTAATTGCATGTAGTTGATAATGTTTGTCTTGATTTTCCCAAGATTTTGTTCCATCTGTCAGGGTAATTAGTGTCGCACATCGGTAGAATGGGATTTGCATTAAAGGTTTCTCCTGAATTCTAATAATTTAAGTAATCAAAGTTGACTGAAATAATCTTGCGTTTTGCCTGCTGTGTGTTTTACCTCCTACACCAGGCAACGGAGTCCAGTGCAAAGCAACAGACTGCATTGAATTTGATCTTGAGGAGCCGGTGCCAGATCGGCCAGACTGCAGACGGAGTGGAGTCGTCGGGGCCAAGAGAAAAAAGGACTTTGTTAAGAAAAACATAGAGGTGGGTCAGAGGTCGTAATGGGCCTGATTCTGTGCACAGTGTATTTCATTCAACGACATAAGCTATCAATACGTTCAATGGAGCAACAGATTAATGGCTGGGCAGGAATGAACAGCAAATGTGAGCCATGATCAGTGGTGTGATGTGACTCTGTTTAACCTGACAGCTGGTCCGGGATGCTGGGAGCCAGGTGCTGATGACACAAGCTGAGAAGCAGAGACTGGCAGAGCTCCTGCAAGACCTTGAGGAGTGTAACACGAGCCCTGAAGGAGATGAGGTATCTGCTGACTATGGGGTGATAAGGTGGGGGGGGGGGGGGGGGGTGACCCCATGCACATGCGGCGCCATTGGCCCGTGCAGTTCATCTGCGGAGCAGAGGGCAGGTGCAAGGTCGCAGGCCGTGGTATCCTTCCTCATCTACACAATGGCAGTCACTGTTCTCAGATGTGTATGGCTATGCGATCAGAAGGTTCACGGTTTAAATCCCGTGGCTGGTAGAGTGAGTTCACCGTTGGGCCCTTGAGCAAGGCCCTTAACCCCAGTTGCTCTAGGGACTGGCTGACTCTGCTCTCTCACTTGTCACTTTGAACAAAAGCATCTGGCAAATAAATAAATGTAACTTGTACCAAGTGCTGGGAAATGGCGTGTCACTGATGCCATTAAAACATGATTATCTGTTGTGTTTTGTTGCATTTTTTACCACATATCTGCAGATGAAGTTCCAAGTGTGAACCCAGCTCGGGAAATAATTTATATATGGGGAAGTCTGTATACCTCACTGGGTGTGAAGTTTTATATCACATGCTGTGTATGATGAGCTGGGAGTTCCTGCACAACTTCAGGAAGCCAGAAATGCATAAAATGTACGAAGAAGATTGGCAAATGGAAAAAAATGAAATGCTCTTCCTTGTTATGCAATGAAATCACTGAAAAAACAATCAAAATTCCTATCTGCTATGGTATATTCCTGAGCTGATTTTCAAAAAAGATTTTAATATTGCAGAGTAGATATTTCAAAGGTCAACATCATGATTCAATTTTCTATTGTCTTTTAGGTGTTGAAGAATATATCACTCAGGCCACAACATTTATTCAGAATATTTTATATATTGCATGCATTTTGGAATCTTACTGTTCTTCGTTTTGAATTTGTAAATATTCTTTCCTTGGTTTTATGAGATTGCTGTTTATTTCCTGGATTCAGTATTTACTGAAATGTCATTGTTTGGAAAAATCTCAGAACCTAAAGCGGCTTTACATTTTAGTACATTTGTATGTAGAAGTTTATTCTAGTGTTTTTGGAGCCTGAATAAGATTAACAGCTGCAAAACACATTTTTAAATGTAGTGTATTTTTTTTAGGGAAAACATGCATATTCCAATTCAAATACTGTATGACAAACATGTGATCAGACACACAGAAGCTGGAGAGAAATCCTTGTATAAACCAACCTGGGCTGTGTCTTCACCCTCTGCTTCTGGGATTTTCTGTGATAGTGGCAGCTTGGTGTGAGTGGAACACTGGGTGTCTCAGGTGTGTCAGGATGTGGTGTTTACTTTGTGTATTATTTAAGCTAATAACGGCTACTGTTCCGCGTCTCTTGAAACTCAAAGCCTTAGATGCTAAATTTATTAAGTTTTCCCTCGGTTTTTAGGGCCAACCCAAGCTAATTGCAGCAAACACTTCAAACTGAGACAAGCATGCATTCTTGGGAATTTTATAAGTCCGGCATAGGCTTCCTGTTATTGGTTATTGTTAGGCATGCGGCTATGAAAGGCTGCTGGGCAGCAAGTTCACCTTTGATGTCTCACGGGTAGAGCCGTGATGCTATGTCAGGCAGCCCTCCGCTCCAGGAAGAGGCTGGCATTCCGTCAGGGCCTGGAATCTAATGCATCTGCCATTTAATGCTTCCTTTTGAATTTTATTTAGGATCTCTCCTATTTACTGGTGATAATTCTGGGCTACAGCCTTGGGCAGGCGACTGTAATTTGAATCAGAGTTAGTAAAAATACTCGCACAGCGAGAGTTTCATTCCTTAGTATGATTACATCAGGCTGGTCTGATGTTTTCCTTTTCTGTGGAATCCACCTAGGTGTTCCTTCAAGAATGTTCTTTGGGATGCTATTATGTGGTTCACTTGTCTCCTCAGCTTCCAGGTCACCTAAAATTGCGTGCCGTTGCCCCTTCTGTGGTTTCGTTTCACGGAATCAATAAAGCTTCAGCACCCTGGAGAGCTCATCGGGTAAATCTCCTGAAGTACAAATTTCTTGTTTTTATATGCTGGAAAGTTTGATTTGTCTGTCTGTGCTCACAAACATCTGCCTTGCGTCCGTTTATTCCAGAAAGTTCGCAGAGCTGAGACATTTTCGCTATGCCCCGGTAGTAGTTGTTGGAAAGGGTAGCGAGATAGCTGAGAGGCATTTCATGTCCTGTCTCTGATTCTTATTGAGAGTGACCATACTTTAAGATATCACTACAGTTTCTGAGGTAAAGATGGAAAGCCAAAGGGTGTATAAGTTCTCTACGTGTCACTTTGCTGATTACCACATTAAAGTAGCACGGTGGAGTTTTCTCAAGCAGTTAGAGGTGGTGGGGGGGGGGGGGGGGGGGGGGGGGGG